AATTAAAGCTACGTTTAACTAGTTTAGTGTATACTTAAATTATTACCCGGTTTGTTTTTTTGTATATTATTAATTAACTTACATTATCACTTTTAATCTTTGTGATAAACTACAAAATAACAAACATAATCTATAATAATGTAACTTAAAGTTTCTTCACACAACTAACTTATTACTGTTTTTAATTACTTAAACTGACTCAGTTTCTAAAATAAGAGCATCTCCTCTATTTTTACATTGTGTTAGTTTGAAGAAGTCACTTTGATTTACTTGAACAGTTTGTAAAACATCTTAACAGACAACATATTGTCGCAGTCGCAAGTCAATGGAGGACAAATGCTACTCGAACGAAATAAAAGAACAACTGCAGTCGCTAGCCTATGGGCAGGTGAAATTTTCTTGGGGTGTGTGTGTCGGAAATAGGCAAGATTTAAGTATTCCTGGAACTCAGTCATTTATTGTCCATTAAAGTCGCCTTTCATTCAAAAATATTAGGTACTAGGGTTTATCTGTTTTACATCGACTTTTACATGATTATTGTTTACCGATACTACCCAATAAGTATTTTACTGTCTATTTTGTTTGTGGAACTAATATTATGGTTGTTTTAAGTTACTCAGTATTTTTTAAAAGGGAATATTGAGTCATAAAAATTGATTGATAACATTAGTGTAAAATTTAATAAAAAAAATAAAAATTTGTATGTCATGATTTTTGTGAATTTTTTTTTCATTTGTTTTTTGAGTTTGGGTCATATCTCGAGTTGCAAAAAGTGTAAAATTAAACATAATTAAATTGCCGATAAATATCACTCTTAATGCCCAATTATTTATTAGTTCAAGTACAATTTTACCTTATTAGTAGCGTATACGCTATATATACGAGGTGTGTTCAGAAAATATCGAGAATTTTATTTTTTTAAAACAAATATTTATTTATTCGTCTAAATTAATGTTGTCGCCTTCAAAAAAGTCCCCATTGGATATTATGCACATATGCCTGCTCTTAATCCATTACTCGAAACACTTCTAAAACTCGATCTTTGGTATAGCCTTTAGTTCTTTCATCTATGCTTGCAAAACGACGGCCCTTTAAGGTTCTCTTCATTTTTGGGAATAGGAAAAAGTCAGACAGAGGCAAGTCTCGCGAATATGGAGGCTGCACTGAAAAAAATTATCTTACTTTTATTTTACTTTTGTAGTAGTAAAGTGACTTTGACTAACTACAACAGGGACAATGTTATTAGGATTAATATTAAATGAGAGATACATACCACTACGAAATGGTATACTCTGTAAATTAAATTTACCACTACTATAAGTAGCACGGATTATAACAAAATAGTTAAAAATTGTACAATTCTGCGTCATGGATAATTTTACCATTACAACTGGTTCGTAATAAATAGCTTACCACTACAAATAGTAATTTTTTGACGTTTACCACTACAGTGGTTAATACTAATAATGTTATAATTAATGAAATTTGGTACGAATCAAGAAGCAACGGAAAATTTGGCCATTTAGTGGTTGTTTGTTTACGGCTTTGCATAGTGCGTAGTTTTGTGATATCATACTATACGTGTTGTGAGTAGGTGTGGAACAGTTATAAAAGGACTGGGATATTGTGGAACTACTCCCCATTTTAACCGGTACGGATCGTAAAACGCATTTTACCTATAGGTATTATAATATTGATTTTTGGGGGTTAACCATAACTCGTTTTCTCTCGATGTTTTAAAATAATACCTACCTAATGCCTATGTTACCGGCAAGGTTTTTACTTCTCACATTCACTAGGAAGTGTGCGCAACACTAATTTAGAAGAAAAAAAACTACAAACAAAAAAATTAAATTAACAAACACATGTTATTTATATATTGGTTGGGTTGGGTTTTTACTGCATAATTCAAATTCTCTAAAAATATTTGTACGATAATTTAAGGATCCGCCATGTTTTTTATTATATTTAGTTATTGCATAATTTTTGTAGGTCCTATTTAACTTATATTTTTGTGGAAATTCATATAAATAATTTTATTTTAATAAAGAATGTTTTTAATATAATTGTCATTTATTTACTACCTTACCGTGCTGTTGAGAAAACCAAATTATAGGGGTAAGTGCAATCAATAATACAAATTAAACAATGATTTTGGCTAAGGTTCGCCTTACTGTTATATCCTGTTTTAAAAACTATTTTAAGTAGCTAAAATAATATACTAAGCGTACCATATACCAATATGTATTCGTAAGTTTCAACAGTGTGTAGTGGTAAAAGGTTTTAATAAAACGGTTATTGTATAACAACATGTAGTGGTAAAATTTAATTAAAGCAGTAGTGGTAACGATCACTTTGCTGTAATGTCAATTCGTAACAATAACTCATTACCATTCTGTAATGGTAGCAACTAAGGTTCTATTGGTTGGCGCCTATTTTACCATTACCATGGGTACCGCTGACCGCTTTTTTCTTTCAGTGTGGGGCATCATTACAGAATTGTTTTTGGTCAAAAAAATTTTTCAAAATTTAACAATTTTAAAACAAATTCTGCTGCCACGCGTTTCATACCCAAAACATTCGAAAAAATTTCATGATAACCCAATCAATATACCAACATCATCAGCGACTTCTCTGATGGTTTATAGCCATTTCTTTCACTTTTTCCATGTTTTTATCGGTTGTTAATGTGCTTGTGCGTTTGGGACGTTCGTCATCTTCAAAATCTTCACGGCCATCTTGGAAACTCTTATACCATTTGTAAACTCTTGTTTTACTTATAGCAGACTCACTATAGGCCTTTTTTAACATTTCACAGAATTTATTTCATTTTTTAAGCAAAATTGGATACAAAATCTTTGATCCATTTCTTTTAACGAACGAAAAATCGCCGAGCTCATAAAACACGTCTAACCTTAGCGGCTGCCACAGACAAAGTAAACAATGAAAACAGCTAAAGTTTTTATCATACTTCGGGGGCATGTATACCAACATAATAAAGAAAATTTTATGACAACCCGCGAAATTTAACAATTCCCGTTATTTTCTGAACACACCTCGTATTGTAGTAACAGGCAATTAATTTACAATACATTTTGAGGAAATATTTTTTTTTGTTTAATTATGATTTGCTCAAGTTTTTTTGGTTTAAATTTTTAATTTAACTGTTGTGTTGTGGCACTTTTGGGCTTTTACCGTATTCATAGCTTATACATGGTGTCACCAAATAAGTTTTTTCTCTATCATTTTTAAATTAAAAAAATCATTACAATTTTTATAACTAGAACCTGACGCAAAATATGCTTGCACAGTGGGCAATAATCATTAATTACTTTGTTGATAAATGTTTTTAGTTTTACATACTTGGCTATTTTTAGGAACTTGAATAAAACAATACTTTTTATCTCGATGTTTCCGTGGTTTTCCTGTCGATTTTAAATTTCACCTTTCACTTTTCAGTTTTGCTTGGATGAATATTATCATTGTTTTTTAGAGGTAAAAACAGTACCTCTAATGCATAAATAATAGAGGAAAAACTTTCTTGTTTTGGCGTGTACTATAGTGATATATCACCCCCCAAAAGATGACAATGTATTAGGTGACCCTGTATAATAGATATAATAGTATTAGTATGTAGTTTATTAGAAATAGTTTTATCTTTTTGATCATCTTCTGTTTTTTTCATATCTGATTTTTTTATGAGGAACCAAATATAATTTCCCACCATCTAAAAATATAAGGCGGCTTTATGGACTTCATTTCTTGGTAAAATCTTCCACCTCGTCGTCAATCTGGTCTACTAAGATTTTTCGAAGAAAAAAAAATTCTTTAGCCTATCTTGGACGATTATTAAATCCAAAAATGAAAATATGGAAAATAGTACCTATTTAAGATGAACAGAAGACGGGTACAGCTTGATTTTTCACCTACTGTGATATCTGACACAATACAATAAATGAAGCCTAAGAAATTGGCTTATCAATAATTAATATACACTGCGCGTCAAAATTAACGCATAATAAGTAAAAAAAATCTAACTCTATAACGCCTTTACCAATCTTTGTAAAATTTTGTGTAAAAATACTTGAACTTATATCTCAGATTACGTTTTCGAGGGTTTTTAGAGAAAATGTTTTGAACTCCCTTTTATTTAAAAAAAAAAAGTTCGAAAAATAAGTTTTAGGGATTTTTTTTTTGAATAATTTTAAAATATCCTGTAAAAGACCGTATTTTTGTTAGTATCCCCTGAAAATTTTGTACAAATCAAACGAACAGTAACGAAGATACAGCGCTTCAAAGTCGGTAAAAATTACCCCTTTTTGATTATTTTACTTAAAAGTGGTCTGTTCGTTTGATTTGTACAACATTTTCAATCCCTAAAACTTATTTTATTTCCCTATAAAAGTTTTTTTCGAGCGTTTTTTTTATTATTAAATAAAATGGCTTTTAGGATATTTCCTCGAAAAACCCTTGAACACGTAAACTGATATACAAGTTAAAGTATTTTTATCCAAAATTTTATAAAGATTGGTAAAGGCGTTTTAGAGTTGGATTTTTTTACTTATTATGCGTTAACGCATTAATTAATATTGACGCGCAGTGTACCTATCAACGACAACAAATTTAGGTTTAGAACCAATTTTGATAAGTTTTAAAACAAAATTCCAAAGCTCTAAATCAAATCTTTTATGTATAAATACAATAAAAATAATTGTTGTATAAAAATAACAAAATTAAATGTTGGGTTGGGTTCGAATAGGATTGTGTTTGCCACATTTAACCACAGACCATAAACAAATAAGCTATTTCCCAAAGCATAAACCATCTTGTTAGTGAGTACAAACAATAATGAACATATTGCAAGACGTCGGAGGATTTAAAAACCCACGGAACATTACTCGATTCTCTCTCCTCTCTTGCCTTTTTTAAAGGCATTTCGCCGGAGCGGCAACGCCGCACGGCAAACGGGGGTATTGGACACACGGTCTTGTCTCAATCTCAGTCTAGTCTAGTCCTCCGAAGTGGTAGCACGGCCAAACTTTTTCAACGGACGATGTTTGTACGGTTAACAAGCGAAATTTGTTGCAAACTTTAACGTAAACTGGTGGTTTTTATGTTTCGTGGAACGCGAGTGCCTTTAAAGCAATGTGAGCTTGTGATAGTTGTTGAAATTTTTAGTGAGTTCTTGTTGTTGGTTCGTTTGGTCGTTCGATGTGTGTGAGTGTAAACATTCCTGAAACGGTGAAGTGTGTTCATGGATCTTTTATTTTATTCGGTAAATATCTCACTTAGTCCTCTGTTGTGCCTTTTATAAAACAAATTTACACCAAAAACACACTATCGAGCATTTTTCTAATCGATATCAAGGGAAAGTTTTAAAACGCTTTGAAAGCGTTAAAATTTTAATGCTGTTTAAGTTACAAACCTTGTTCACGAAACGATAACAAAATCTTCGAAAATATTTGTTGAAATTACAACTGAAATTAAGTTCTCGGGCTTTTTGTCTCGCATGGAAGGTATTTTTTACCTACCTTCGAACTCTACAGAAAGATTTTGTCCCCTAACTCTAGTTAATAAATCTTTAAAACGGCAAATTCAATCAATAAAACGAAAAAGTTTTAATGCGAAGTTTTAAAAATACTAACTTGCTAAACGGTTTTAGAAATTAGTTTTTGGAAAATCCCTATAATATTAAAAAATACACAAAAAAACACTATTTAAAGCCTTTTATTCTTGAAAATAAGTTTAAGGCTTGATTTACCTCTTTTTAGGTACTTTAATATTTTAAAAAAATTGTATATTTGGAATTTTAAGTTAAAAAAACGCAATGTTGCTATAAAGGTCAAAAAAAGAATAAATACTTAAAAGTATTGAAATATATCACAACTTTTAAAATGGCCATTTGTATACAAATATTTTATATTTGCACTAAGTTTCCAAAACATTGCCAACAATGTTAGAAAAAAGATTGTAGCAAAAATGATCTACGAAGACCAAGTAAAATAACGCAGAAAGCACAAAAAGTATTCAAGTAAGAAAAGGTTTCTTAAAACTGAATATTAAATAAAATATCTTTACCCTATAGGGTTATACCATTGTATGTATAAAAAAACCCACCTTGACATTTTAATACAAATAACTAAGGTTATAAATGTGCCAGTTTAATATTAATTTTGTCTTATTTTCTGAAAATAATACAATATAAGTATATTCTGTAACAAGTTTGGTAGGTACGGCATATTCCGCTCGAGTGAAAAGTTTACCAAAAAAAAGACCATAGAGAAATAATTTAATTGGGAGAAAGTGAGGTTGGATCGGTCTAAAAGTAGATAATAAACACAGAGATGGCGCCACCAGTGTTTATTCCGTCATCCGGTGATAAAATTAATTCATTCTGTAACACTTTAAGGAGTAGAAAATAGTATATTAAAGAACTAATGTCATAATACGTCATTTTGTAATGGACGAGTGCGACAAAAGGTCTTATAACATGAGTTCTTTATGCTATTTTATCTATTTTGTAAAAAATTTATAAAAAAAATTGATTTTATACCTTAAATTTAATTTGGTCGAATTTTACTTTAGATAGTTGGTATCACAGGTTTGACAGTTAATGTCAAAATCGATTCGCCATGCCGTCCTTAATTTACTTATTTGCAATAAGCGGCTGTTAATGTTAAAGAAGAAAAAAAGGATTTTCTTTGCTGTTAAACAAAATTTATTGCCAGAAACGTCTCGTAAGTAGAAAAATCATAAAAATATTATAACCAATATGCAAAATATTATAGCCAACCTATAAAATCAAAATTTTGGGTGAGATAAAGTATCTCATTACAGCATCGAAAGCGGTGTTATAATGAAGTCATTATGAACGCAAAATAGATAAAATAAATTTTGTAACTAATTTTTTTGTTTTAAACTAACCTTTATTCATAAAAAATACATACTATATTGTGTTATTTTGAGAAAATTATATAACATTAGCGTAAAATCACAGACAGATATATTATAACGTCAATAATTTGTATTCAAATGTCAAAGTGGGACTTTCGCATGTGGAGCATAGTATACCTACAATATATAAACATATGTATGTATATATACAGTGTATATAAGTTATAACTTAAGGTATACATATTAAGAAAGAGTTTAATATATTTGTATATATAAAAATATATTTAACTTTTACAGCCTATAAATAACAAATTTTTAAAATATTAACCTTAATCGTTTAATAAAATGTCATTTATTTTGTTTCCAGAAAAAGTTAAATATATTTAACTTTTAGAGATATATCCCTAAAATGTTAAAAAAAAACAAAATAATACAAATGATCAAAATATTACCCCCAAAAGTCAAAATTGCTCAAAAGTTTTAAAATAACTTTTTACAATACAAACTTTTTAGAAAGGCTATTTATTTACTATAGTACCTACCTACAACCTATAGACCTATAGAATGTGTCAAAAGAACTAGAATGTAATATATAATGGTAAAATAATATTTTATACCTACAAATGTAAAACAAGTTTTTGGTCCCCTAATCTCGATGATAAATCTTAAAAACGGCAAATCCAATCAAAAAAGTTTCCGTTTTAAATTACAAACATCTTGACACAATTTGTTAAAACAAAAACTTCTAAAGTAGCAAAAATAAACGTTATCTAAAAACGTCAAGAGGTTTGGTTTCTATTCTCACATTAATTTCTCCACTCATAACCCGTCACAAAAACCATTTGACTACCAAATCTTTTTATTTTTCCTTATCTATCTCTGCTACATTATGTGCAATAATTCAAACGCTTAACTTCAGCTGACTTTTCTACATTATCATTTTTTGCGCTCGCGAGTTTTATCAGAGTAGTCTTGAGAGGTCGTAGAAACTAGACTCTTGTCCGTTTGAAGAATGTTATGTATCAGATAACGACATATTTACATCGTATTTTTATTAGCAATGATTCTTGGAAACTTTGTAACTTTAACCCTCCGTTAATCCTGTCTAAATGGTTCGACGTTCTCCAAACGCCGAATCAGCACTCTCTCACAGGTTTTAATTTTTTTAGTTGATGAAGTCGTTGCTAAATTTAACGCAGTGTGTATATAAAATAAAAAAGTCCTTATTTGGAAATTGTTAATTAGGTACTTTTATTTTTGGTACGTCTTCAGTAACAGAAATTAAACTTAAGTTATGTGATATATCACAAAATATTTTATTATACTATATTATATTATTATACTATAATATTTTATTATTATGATATGCTATTGCATGCAATAGCATATCATAATAAAATAAAAAAGTAATAATATTGTAATAGATATATGTATATTAAAATTTATCAATATTGAACCAATTTTTATAAAATTCAAAACTCTTTGGAAATTAGTGACAACTGACTGATGTTGCAAATATTCAATGGCATCAGAAGATGTTCTAAACTCCACTTATATATTTATTTTTCTTCCTATGATAAAGTTGAATTTTACCGTTTCCATAAGCATAAACTTTAAATTAAATTTGCAATAAAAAATAATTATATTTAGTAAAATAGTCGATATCTTTTTGCAAAAAGGCGTTTTAAATTGTAAACTAATTTTTAGAACGCTTTTTAGCTCTCTAAAAATGCATGCATGAATTAGTCAAAAATTACTAATTTAATAGTTATTAGTGGCTGCTTTTTCACTTGTACCATGGTTAACCATGGAATACCATGGTATCCCAAAAGTTAACAGCCAATTCTTATGTAAAATTGTCCCCTGAATCCGAAAATGTTAAAAAAGTAGAAAAGTTATTGAGACATAGTCAATTTTCCATTTAATATGGAATTGACTATATCTCAAAAACTGCTCCACTTAATTTTTGACGGTATTTTTGGATTCAGGGGACAATTTTACATAAGAATTGGATGTTAAATAGTGATGGTTATAACCAGAGTAAATATATACTTATTACCAGAGTATAAATATACTCAAAATCTAGTAGGCCAAAAAAGAATCACAAATTGCCTAAAAATTTAAATAATTCTATATTTTACAACTTTTTCCTTAAATTCCCAGGAAAAACGAAGTTATAACGTTTTTGTTTTTGACAGGTTTTTAATTTTTTTTTTGAATTATTTTAGAACTGCATATACCTACCAATTTTTTAAAATTTTAAATGCTATTTTAATAGAATTGTAAATACGCAACTTTTATTTAATTTAACCTACCTTGTAGCTCTTACAATAAAAATATACCCATGGGAAAAATTAATATTGTAAATTTTCTATGACTATATATATACGCTGTGGCTCCCGTCCCGAGGCGGGACTTAAGTTCAGTCCCGATTGACGTCATAATTTTAAGATTTGTTATGTTATAATAAAATAATAATAATAATAAATTGTACCTGTATACATGTTAAGGGCACGTTAGTTACGTCATAAAACCAAACCAACCCAAACTCAACAACACAACCCAACCGACCCCGCGAAATTTAACAATTCCCGTTATTTTCTGAACACACCTCGTATGTATTATTTAGGCAAACTAAAGGTAATTCTAATGTATGTACATAACTCTCAGCACTAACGTTTTGCTTAAAGAGTCTCTTATTTTTTTCCAGAGCATTGTGTCAAAAGAAAAAATCCGACCTTGCTATTAGGTACATGTTTTTGTTATAATTTAAATTATCCTGCTAAAAACGAAAAAAACAAAGATTATAATCTCTATAGAGGGCCAAATATAATTATAATTATTCTATAAAGAGGGTAAATACTACCAAAAAAAGATTAAAACATCATGCCACAATTTTATAATGCTTTTAAAAAATACTCACAGACTAAACACTTAACCGTAATTACAAATGAATATGACAATAAAAGGTACGTTTTTACAACAAAAAGGTGTTAGACTTTTTCAAAACACGTTGTTATAATTATAATTACATGGTAGATTTATCTATGGATACATAGTTATTGCTTAAAAAATTGAACTATCTTTGTTGTAGATTATATCGAAACAATTCATAATTCTTATAATTTGTGGTTCGTACAAAAATTCTAAAGTATATAGATTATCTTTATTCCGAAATTATCATATTCAGGTAGTGAAGATCCGGCGGATTTTGCCGCGGTTTTTTTGGACCTAAACAAGAATTTTTTGTTATAGAAAAAGATGGCCGCGTACTCGAGAAAACGCCTAATTAGTTTGCGTAATTATGTTATGTTAATGTGATTGGTTATTAACTAAACTAAAATCGGTGTACGCGTTTTAGATAATTACTTTTTGTCTGTT